GAATTTGATTGATTGATTGATTGAATTTCTTTAATAAACCGAATCGTAACATTAAAATGAATATAAAGAAGTCAGAATTAAGAAAGGAGGAACAGAGCGAGTCAGATTCCCGTCCGTAAACTGAGAAAATTACATTATTATATAATACGGTACCGTATTTATTGGGGTCGAATAGACACAGCTGAGTATTGATGAGAATGAGAGTGAGACTCAGGCCTTTCTTTGTTGATTCTGCAAAACACAAGCTAATATATATATTTAGTATTCGAGAGTAAGCTATCGGTGTCAAGAGTAGTAGCACATCAGCCAGAATAATGTTTTTATAAAGGACCAGCATGAAACTTCACGACCTGTTTTTATAACTTACCGTAATTAATCGGAGCGTGGTCGCAACGCGACGTGGTACCAAATCAATCGTATACAGAGCTACGCCTTATGAAAACAGTAGCACGAGTCCAACTGCCTCGCCTCCGCTGCATCCTCCTCAATGAAACACTTCTAATCAGCAATACGAACTAGGCGTCCTAAATGGTAACAGAGATAAAAATATTGCGTACATGATGAAATTAACACAAAACCTAAAATAGAATCAATAAATTAACTTGTAAAATGATATGGCCTAAAATATCAATTTCTAATGATACACGTATCACCTGCCTGTGCGAAACAAGTTTTCTCTGATTTACAAACTCCTTATTACACAGTGTATACGAAAATCCTTAAACTGTGTACCACATCCAAATAGTAAGCCTCGCGACCAATCGAGTGAACGGTGGACTTATTCAGGAACGTTATTGTCCAGGTCTAAAAATTAACTGAAATGGATTCTGATTGCCAATTTTAACTTATATATAATATTGCATTTTATTAGGCTATTTTATACATAATAGAGGAGACGGGGACATTGTAACTGGTCTTGATAAATGTTTATTGATTCTTAACAACATTTTCCCCTGTAACAATTGAACAGATTGTTCATGGATTCTTTTTATTAATAAATATATGCCCAAAAGGAATTAAAGTCCTCATATTAAATAAATAAATAAATAAACGGACTTATATTATGCGCAGCGTATCCGCCAGAGAAGCTCATGGCGCATTGGCATGTCTGAGCCATAGGCCTAGATAAATAAATAAATAAATATTATTTTATTCTATCTAGTATACATTTTTGTTTACATGTAGGCCTATATAATTAGGCCTATACAATACTTTATCAATGTTTCCAATTTGAACGAACTTCGAATAATTTCATTAGGTTTTTTATGTAATTAATAGTTGTAGCATTCCGAGTAAAAAAAAATATACGTCCGGTACTGCTATGTTTTGTAGCGGTTTCGTAGCGTCGCTAACAGCATCGAACTCCAAGCTTTATTGCCTGAAGGAGATCCACTGATAGTGAACTAAAACGTACTTGGTTTTAATATAAATAATACTACAACCATTAATTAAAGATAGGGATACTTAAAGATACTGTCTGTATTGAGGAAATACACTTGAACAAAATAATGATTATAAAATCAAGGTGCAAAAAGGCCTAGTATCATCTGGCTATTGAATGGATTAACAAAATAAATTTATATAGGCCTTTAACAAAACACACGATGTCCATAACAACCAATACTAACTCTCAGCCTGTGAAGTCATGTTGATAACGCAGCTTGCGTAAGTCAACATAACCGTGTTTGGTTTATAAATTTGTTATCCTAAGATTCAATATTTGAAATATAGGCCTATACATTGTATATAAAGTAAGAACAAGTTCCGTACACCGACTTCTCGCACCAACCGCTATCTTCTCTCTTTCCTACCACAGGCTATCAAATTTGTTAACTACAATTTTAAACTTAACTAACTTTTTGTCTCCCTTACTGTATTGTACATTCTACTTTTCAACAAATTTTAATAGTTTTAGTAATAGGCCTATGACTACAATGATGATTTAAACTGTAGTAGTACATCTCTATATTTTAACCAATTTTGATACGAGCAACGAATTTCCGTAAAAGGATGCAATAAAGTGAGTCTGAGTCTGAGTCTGAACCAAAAATATCTTTATATCATATTTTTGACACTCAATAGGCTATGGTAGCACAAGGACTTTCAAAGCCAGTCTCCGGAGAGGGAAAATGATATGTTGTAATAGATTTTTATCAGACACAAAAGGGTGTTTTACGAAAAACATTGGGGTTAATGAGATACAGATTTTTAAATATTTCTTTTCCCTCCAAAAATGGGCAGTTACCGCCTTTTTTTCTCCTTTATCCCCCAGTTTTTAAATGTTCAAAAATCTGTATCTCATTAACCGTTTCTGAGTTTTTCGTCAATCCCCTTTTTTTATGTCTGTTCACACACTATCAAATTTGATGTGACAAAAATGTGATATGCCCACACTTGGCTATAATATGACATCATCATGCACATTACATAAATTTGACATACGTTTTATAGTGTGGAGCTTTCGAAAAATCATCTGTAAAGGTTTTTCCTCAGAAGCTTTAACTGACACGGATCGAATCTGATTTTGGAGTATCAGGCTTTAAACTACGTAGGCATAAATTCTTAAATTTACTACCAACACAGAAAGAAATGGGCTTACATGAACCCACCATGCCAGTTGATTTATAATCGTAACGTCTCGCTGGTACAACGATCACCACTGAATTTCGGAAGAGTACAGTAATTGTAAAATTCTGGGGTTGCATATTTTCTTAGGTTTTTATAAAGAACACCCGGGCAGATCAAAGGAGAATACTTTGATCTAGGGGATATTATGATGGGTATGATTTATTGACTGTTAAATGGATGAATGCATCACAATGTAAATCAAAGGGTGCACAGTGTGTAATATCACCAGGTAAAGTCCTTGTCATTTAAAATTTGTTTCGTTCACAATGCCGATCAATGAAAAAAAATAGGTCTAGATTCTATTTTTTGACTTGGACACTGTCCTTGAACCTGTTATACTTTATCCTACCTAGTGAGGTATAATGATAATGGGTATTATTATTATAACATTTTTAGCATATCGAATATGAGGTCCGTTTTGATTACCCTGTAAACTTCTAAGCGTATACAGGAGGTGCAGGACCGTAAAACGCATCGTAAAACTTCGACTATAAACCCTATCAGACTAATCTCGAAAAGCCTATTTCAAATTGAATCCGCCATCTTTAGTTTACAAAGTAATCTAAAACAGAAGGTGAATTGTACGGTATTAGGACATTTCGCCGAATGCCAGTTTGCCAGTTGACCGAAAGAACATGCACCGACACCAGAATTCGGCGACGCATTTGGCCCTCTCGTAAACCCGTCGTGCCAACCTTGAGCAGCCTTGCCCAAAAAATATGTAGTTCCTACGCATGCGCTTGAATTTGGTAAACGCAGTCGAGATTGTGAAAAGAAACTCAATCTATGACGTGGCGGGAGTATTTCTCCATGAAAGGTGTACAGATCACACACTAATTTCTAAGTCTCAATGAGTGTCTATAGTGAATATTTTATATTCGCTATGACAAGGCAATCCCAAATAATACATTCATTTTAGAAAATAGAAGCCCGCGCCCCTCTTTACTTTGCACAAGTAGTCTTAAAAAGAAGCCCATCTCGATAAGAAGCCCAAGCAACAGTCCTGAAAAATTAAAAAAGCCCAGAACCTCTACTGAATAGAGGATTTATTTATGTCCTATTGAATACAGTATAAAAAACACCTCCCTCTGGTGTAGACTGTGTCTCTTGATAAGGCGATTATTGAGCATTAAATTTGGCAATTAAGCCACAATTCAAAATGTCATCTTTCACGATGTAAAACAATAATTCTTCATATTCATAAATTACCAGTATGCCTATACAGTTGTTACCGTATCCAGGCAACAGTTTAAGCTCACCGGAACAACACATGACATACAAATGGAAGCCCGTATCTCTGACACAAAAATATGAAATATAGGATAAATTACAAATATTGGATTCCTTTGGCCATTAGCATAGTACTAATGGGTTAGTTAAAATGGGAGCACATACACGAGGGGCTCATAACCAAAGCTTTACGAGTCTCACTATCATATAAACAAGTAAAACATGACTGTAGGCCTATATCATTCTTATTTAACCTAGTGTTGAAAAGAATAAACGCAAAGAATATTATTCTTTGATAAACGATTGTAATAGCCATTTGAGGGCGCTATTGATAAAATTATAGAAATCTTATTACAGTGATTTCATTTACTCAATGATAACGAAGACCGTCCGAAATACAAAAAGGCAAGTAAAATCATACTACTGTACATAATATATTTAAATGTATACACTAACTTCCAATTTTGTGAAACGGTGGGTAGCATAAAAAGTGTAGGCTTACTTGAAGCAACATAACATGAGAACCCTAATGACTTTTATTTGCATCCTTCATAGGATATACTGCCAAGGAATAAATTTAAATTTATTTTATTTACAACCAAAGTTTAAAACAACGAGTTATGTATATGCGCACACGAGTTTTGTAACGTCATTTTTAGATATAACAGGTACATCGTCTCATGATTCCTTGTGATTTAGACAGGAAACTGTAAAAGACAGTTAGCCTATACAGAGAGCAATATCTCTGAACTTTTACCTCATTTTTTCTAAATTGACATAGGCCTAGGCCTTAAAATGCAACGATCAATGTGCATGTTGATAACATATCCCGGAGTTAATATAAGAAATGTGTTTGGTCTTTGCAATTTCTACGAAATCCTACATCTCATTCAAAGTACAGGACAAACTCCAACGCATCCAATTGGCCAATTATTTACCGGTATTATCTATCGTGGAAATTCCACCTTCCAATTATTACAAATAAAAGATATTGTATATCGTACGTTATCGTAAATGTAAGTAGGTATTTTATCGATTTATGTCATAGGCATAAATGCCTCGAATGGTGCTACGGATAATAAAAAGCCATGGCCTGTTGGAAATATGCAATAGCTCTGACAGTCTTGGGCCTTCTTGTTTTATACGGTATTTTTGTCGGGGGCGTATATTATGGAGGTGTTGTTGTGTCACGGGGCACGTGCATATGTACTGTTATTTCTTGTAGTTTCAGCGAATGGAGTGAGTGGACACACTGTTCGCAAAAATGCGGGCCAGATGGAACAAAGTTTAGGGTTCGTAATGTCCTACAGGTAACTGGTTGCGGACCGGTCATGTGCGCCGAGCCAACTTCAGAAGAACGACCCTGTAACCGTGTATGTCACAACGGAGGAAGTCTCACGCAGAATGGATGTAACTGTCAAAACGTCAATTACAGTGGTCCATGTTGTGAGTGTGAGGACATTGACTGCCAGCTGAGCCACTGGACTAAGTGGTCATCTTGTGAAAATGCTACGAGTCGCATAAGATCACGAGATGTTTTAAGAGGTTCTGAGTGCGAAGGAGCGAAGTGTAAAGGACCGTATACAGAGGAACAAGCTTGCTCTGTTGTACTGAAAGGAAACATCTTGGTGGCGAAATGGATAATTATAACTCTTAGCATTTATGCAGGAATATTGACTTTAACTATTTTTACCGTATGCATACTGAAGCGCAGGTACAGTGTACTAATTTTTAAAAGATTACTTTCATTAAACATTAAACCTTATACATTTTTATAATAAATATGCTATAATATCATTATTTTTATATCAATATATTATGCCTATCTTTATTTCATCAAACATGAAATATTACAACAAATTACTTTGCAATAAAAAAAAAACTGAAATGAAAAAAAAATGTTCACAAAGAGTCTAGTCATGTTGAAAAGTAATGATTAAAGGAATAAAAAAAAAAGGAAGCGTATAAACATTACATACAAGGACAAAAATAATGATAGGCCAAGTTATTATTATTATCATCATCTTTATTATTACTAGGCCTAAAATGTAATGTGTTGGATAGCGCTTTATACCGAAGTCTCAAAAACGTTCGAGGAGTGGACTAGCTCGAGTAAATTGCTTCATCTAAGGGAACTGAGCAACCAGCCGCTCGTCCGTCCAGAACAGGGACAAGACACCCCCACCCCAAAACATTATTTATTTTATTATCTCCCATTAAATACTAGAGGGACATTAATCCCCACTATTCACAATTCTTCATATAAACACCCCATTTTCCAAAACGAGTGGAAAGAACAACCATTACGAATGATTGTCAAATCATCTCATTCGAAAGCTTATAACATTAATCAGTAGATAATAAATACGGGGTAAGTTAATTCAATGAAGATTAAGAGGTAAACTGAACACTTTTTATGATGAATATTCTGAAAACGTTGTTGAAATAAATTTTAATTGTATAAAATTAATGTTATTCTTAAAAATAAATTAAATATACGAAATATAACAGATAGAACGCCTTTATATGAATAACGATGTCATTAGAAAGGGAAGTAGTTCGGCCGGTCACCAAAATCCTATTGTATATTATTTTAGAATTCTTATAGTAGAATAATAATAAAAATATATAATCTTTTTCTAAGCATCTAATTTTTTGTAAATAGCAGTGATGTAATGAAGCTTTATGCCGGTGTCACATTGATATTTCCCCTGTCCTCGCCCATGTCATACCGGCATTGTTTGCCTAAAATGCTCCTCACCGGTTATAAAGTATTTAAAAAACTCAGAGATTTAGTCATGGGTGTTAGATCAGAAAACACTTGTAGGTATAGTTAGTAAACATTGAATTTAATCAAACATGTGTATTGGGTGATCTTCTAGAATCAAATTCAACAATACTAATATATTATTTATGCTGATACTAAACTGGAAATATCCATCATTTTCTGTTAATTCAACATGTTCAAACAAAGCTTTCTGGAAAAAAATTCTTTACTGCATGGAAAGCCAAATATCAAAATAAACAATTTTCTTCTCTCTGGAATATGCCTATGTGTGGTGTTTTATTATCTTAATAAACTGACCACGGCTTTTGCACAATAGACGTTTTTTGTTAAGTCTGAGTTCTCGATGGGGCAATGATATTCTTTTTTGTTTAGAAAAAGCTATTTACATTGCATATTTTGCACTATACTGCAAAATCCGAACTAAAAAAAACCCCATTTTTTTAATGTCTGAAAGTGCTATTTTTGTACGCCTATTTACGTCATTTGACTTCAACGAAACATGATATGATATATATTTAATTGGATTTTCTTTTAAAATCGATACCGTACTGAACAAGGCCTATATAGATATGCTGATACTGAACTAAAAATATCCATTATTCTAGTGTTATTGAGTCCAGTTTAAAGTTGTCAAATTAATTTTCTTCACTGCATGATAGGCCTACGTAAAACATTCGTTGTTTTGTATTTTTTCCCTACAATGTTAAGTCAACAGATGTATGAATGAACATAATTCGTTGATTCTGTTTTTATTTAAATTGTTCAGAGTCGCCATATTTATCATAACATCGTCACGAATTCCTAATAGTTTTTAATAAAACAATACTGTACTGTCCGATAACAAATTTTATAGGCCTGTTTGAATAGATGTGTTTAATGTTGCATAGTCGTATTGTTTCATCTCTTTATGTAAAGCGCATTGAACAAAATGTAAATCGGAAAATGTACATCTGAGAATGCGTTACATAAATAAATATTACCTCTGCCGCCCAAGTTGTAAGCACAGAACCTTGATATCGATAGCATGAAACCAAGGAACATACAGTGCGAGTACTATTCTGTACCGTATATTATTGATGTCACAATGGAAGGTTACCCTAAAACATCTGATTCTAGTAATCCTGGGTCAATATTTCTTTGTTTTTAATGTGGGTTGCAATTATGATTCAGGTTAATAAGTGGTAGACCTACACTTATTATGGTGAAAGTAAATTTTTGTCCTCTGAATTTTTATAGTGTTATTATTCTATTTTTTAAATATTTGTATGGTTCCTTATATAGAATATAACCAGGGCAAATATGTAGGGCTATGCGACGTGTGAAACACCAAATGGGTGAGAAGCAATGGTGTTGAGATTTTTGTTATTGAGATTGTGTTATGCAGTAAATACTAAAGATAACATAAACAATACGATTTTTTTTTTCAGATCACAGATTCGAAATTGGTCTATAAATCAGGCTGCCAACTACGCGAACTTACGCGACGACACAAACGAAAGCATTTCTATGGCGAGATCGCGGTACAGGTCAAGAAATAGGAGGGACTCTATACATTCTACCAGTACCATTATGGGCTAGACAATGGTTTTCTAAAAGGGAACTTAACTAAACGCAGAAGACAAACGTAATATAAATGAGTGTCAATCTCATTCCAGGCTCAAACAATACATTGTTTTAAGATTAATTATATAATTAATTTGTCTTAGTTTATTGTAAATTTACCAAGTGTAAATAAGTTTTAAAGCATTTTGTTCCCAAGTTTATAAAATTCATACTTAGTAATAATTTTATGTCTTTTTGAAAGTATTTATTGCCTGTACTTTACCAATTTTAATATTTTATTAATCTTAAGATTGTTTTTTTGATCAGGATCATTTGGTAGATCAATGTTAGTAATGTTTTGTAACATTTATATCATTTTACATTTTGATTTCGTTGAAAATGTAGGCATCCTGAATAATTGGTAACATATTATTTTTAATTTTTGTAGTGGTGAAAACAATGTTTAATTTCAGTCCGGTGCAATGTTTAGTTACAATATTTTGTATCTTACATTTAATATCGTCAGAATATTTACCAATAAATGGAAATTTAAAATACACATGTGTTGTGTTTTTCATCAATTTGCGTCCGTTTAGTTCCATTATCAAAGAATTTAGTTCGGAAGACCTGCCTATCTGTTTGATTAGGAAGCACGAGAAGATATCCTTAAGTTTCGTTAAAGCTGAATTGGATTATCATTTCTTACGCAATAATAATAATGATAATACGCAAACAATGATTACCAAGAGTTTTCAAGTTGTGATTTTCATTTTTCAATCCTTGTACACAATTTTTCTTTTATATCAGAGATTGTACTGTTTGTCGTGAACTATATCACTCACTCATTAAAAATATTTAATAAGCCTAATTTAAGTTTCATTGACTTTCAATAAACATTTCACCTACAAATTTCATTATACAAAGAATATAATTATTGTCAATTGGGTGGATTCCGTCCTTCGAAGTACAAGACAAACTGATGTTGAAAGTGTAATGAGCAAATTCTACGAGGGAGATTCTGAACTGTTAACTTCGACATAATTCGTACTAACAGTTGTAGTGTAAGCCTAGATTACTGGCACTACATTTTAGCGCCAATTTGGATGACAGTACTTCCTAAACAACCCCAGATCATGACTTTAAAAATAAATTAGGATTTACTATGCCAACAATTCAAAAAGGTCATCAAATCATTTCACAATAATTCTTTATATATATATAAATTAATAGTATGCCTAAAAATGGTTGTTGTACCCAGTTTAGGCTCATCGGAATAACACATACAAATGCAACCCGTATATTCCTGTCACAAATAATAATAAATATAGGATAAATTACATCTATTGGATTTGCTTAGCCATTTGCAAAGCGCTATTGCGTCAGTTAAAATAGGAGCCTGATAGACAGCTCATGCGATGTACGGAAGAGAGTCTCTGTACCGGGTTACCGGGTAGAGACACGAAGAGACCCACCGGGGCAAAAAAGTCACTGTTTGAGTTACGGTACTAGTCCACTTAGTCATTAACCGCCATCGGCATCTTGTGCGATGGTTACCGACGCTAGGGCCTACAAATCTACCCTATTATTAATACGTATCATTATTATCATTATGTATTGCGTAAGAAATGATAATCCAATTCAGCTTTAATGAAACGTAAGATTATCTTCTCGTACTTCCTAATCAAACAAATAGGCAGGTCTTTTGAACTAAATTCCTTGATAATGGAACCAAATGGACGCAAATTGATGAAATACACAACACATGTGTATTTTAAATTTCCATTTATTGGTAAATATTTGACGATATTTAATGCAAGATACAAAATAGTGTAACTAAACATTGCACCGGACTGAAATTAAACATTGTTGTCACCATTACAAAAATAAAAAAATATGTTACCAATTATTCAGGATACATTATCAAAGAAAGCAAAATGTACAATGATCTAAAAGTTGACAAATTATGTTCAGTATCAAGGACGCAATCCCTAGTAATCTTTGCTCTATGGTAGTGTATAAATTCAAATGTGGGGTCGAATGTATAATTCCGCCTAAATAGGCTATACTAGCCGACACTTGATTACTATGATTGACGAACACCTTGGCAATGACAAAAATTCACACATTTTAAAACATCTAAATAAAAATAATAATGCAAAAACATTAGCTAACAATGCTGCAACGTCATTGACCAGGACAAGAATGAAATTAGATTACGAATAAAAGAATCACTACATATCAAATGGAACAGTCCAAATCTTAATGTCCAACTCAAACATTTAATCTTACAACTTTTCAATTAGCATACAACACTAATGTGTTCAATACACCTTGCCTATGATTATCTAGAACGATCGTTCGTTGCGTTAATTGGTAACATTTTGGCTTAACTAATTAATATTCATTCAATTCTTTGTATATACTCTTACTTATAAGAATGGCGAGTTTTTCTGTTTTTGCTTTTCTGGTTGTACTGATGATGGGTTGGAGAGAACACATGTTTTGCCATTAAATCCTTAGTTCTTTTCTTAAAATGTATAGTGTTTTTCATCAATTTGCGTCCGTTTGGTTTCATCATCAAGGACTTTAGTTCGGAAGACCTGCCTATTTGTTTGATTAGGAAGTACGAGAAGATATGCCTACGTTTCATTAAAGCTGAATTGGATTATCATTTCCTACGCAATTGTAAAACGATCAGCGTTTTCCCAAAATCCATTTATTATTATTATTATTATTATTATTATTATTATTATTATAAAAATAATAATAACAATAATAATAATAATAATAATAATAATGATAATAATAATAATGATAATAATAATAATAATAATAAAAATAATAATAATAATAATAATAATAATAATAATGATAATAATAATAATAATAGATGGATTTATATAGCGCAAATAAGCGAGGTCTCTATTGTAGTGAAGAAAACAAAGAAAAACCTGGAAAAAAACAAAAAACAAAAAACCAAGCACCCAAACCGAAGAATGGGGAGTACATCATCACCGCCAACCGGAGATTTGTGTTTATGTATTCCGGTTAGCATCGGTTAAGTCTTGATCATTTCTGGGATCAGGTGCCTCCTAACCTGGACCAAACAAACACTAGCTAGCGAGGTGAAACAGAGAAATTAAATAAAAAAAGTAGTTGTAAAAGGAGGCAAATAGAAAAGTTTCGAGTCGCTTCTTAAAGATGTCAATTATTATGATATAAATAACATGAGATGGACTTCGTATAGTATTTATATTTTTTTAAATTTTCGTTTAATATTGTAGTTAAGTTGTAGCTAAGCGGTGTCAAGTTTGGTTAGCCTCTTCTATTTCTTTGTGACCTTTCGTACTTTTTCGAGGATACAATAAGCAATAGAGAGCATTCGATTGCACGACGACGGTAGGAAGTAGAACGTAATGACGTAACTAAAAGTCATTTGCGCAAGCGAAACCGTTAAGGCTGTTTTAACCATCCATATGTTTTAACTAGGCGAATTTATTCGCGAATCGAAGGCGTCGGTTCGTTTCCTGAGCTCTGATTGGCTGCGCATTTTTTTTCGCTTCGGAAACGGCGTAGAAACTGTTCGAACTACCGATTTCGCTGAATTGAAGCGGAAACTCCGATTGAAATGTGAATGCGCATGCGCATAAACGACGCTTTTGATTCGCGCGAATAAATTCGCCTAGTTGAAAACCGGCTTCAAGCCTATTTCCACTAGGCGATTTTTTTCTCGAGAAGCGAAGGCGTCGGTTTGGTTCCTGATCTCTGATGGTTGCGCACATTTTTTGCTTCGCAAAAAGTAGAAACAGTTCGAACCACCGATTTCGCTGAAGCGAAATATATAGGCTATACTGTTTACAAAAGCTTTAAAAGTTTAAAGTTTCTGATCAGTCTCCTTACATATTTTGGGGACGTTTCCATGTAGTTTTCGTTAGCAGCAAGTTCACAATTGGATGTCACCAAAGTTCCGTTGTTTTAGGCCACGTTTTTGAAGGTCTTTGCGAAGTACTCAGGTTGGTTTTATGACGACCGCGTTTTTCTGGTTGGCAGCACCCATCAACTGCAAATGACAAAGCACGGTGTGCAGGGGATGTTTCTTCCATTCTAAGGATGTGGCCAATCATTGAAAATCGAGATTTTATAACACGCTCAGATAACGGGTTGACTCCAGTAACTTTATAAAGATCTTGGTTCCGGATGAATTTAGGCCATCTAATACACTGCTAGGGACAGACCAGATGCTGCAGTTATATTGTATGACTGAAACTACCTGGGCTTCATAGACTATAAAACGTCTCTTGAGTGAAATACATCTTCGACGGTTCCAAACTTTGTTGAATCGCGAAAAAGCAACGTTTCCAAGAATGATGCGTTGTTTAACATCGACGATAAAATCTAATAAAGATCCAAGCAGTTTACTTGAACGCCACGCTTCGTTGTCTTTTGGTGTTACCACTAATATCTAGTCTTGTTTATTAGCTATATATACCTGTGTGAATTCAGTTTCTTCTTCATTTACTGAGAGGTTTCATTCTTGTAATATTGTTTTAACAGTGGGCAATATATGCTCAAGGATCTGAGGATCTTCATCTAAATAATCGACGTCATCAGCATATTCTAACTCAAGTGGCATCCCCCCACCCATAAATGATATAGGTGGATTTGGCCTCGAAATAACTGCTCTAACGTGTCTAAGTGCTTCAGCAAGTGTCAGAGTGAAGAACGCACCCGATAGACTATTTCATTTCATTTCTTGGCACGAGCGCTAGGAATGGCAATAAGTGAACTTAATCACTGTCCACGTGGCATATCCATTTACCAACAACAACGGGGGACTTAATGGACCAGTACACCGGGGTAACCTCCTACTCTTCTAGAATGATGTACTGGGTTCTTTAAAGTGCACACGAGCCAAATGCGTGCACTGGGCCTACGGTTTAAATTCCTTATCCGAGAAGACTTGTTCCACCACCGCAATCATTGGCGAGTGAGCCGTTCGAACCAGCGCCGATATTAGAGCTGAAGGTGCCCCTGACTTAACAGCTTGGCCAATCAACTCGCCAACTATCGCCTTGAAACGACCCTATTGTTGACTGAAAATCTTCTGAGAGCACATCTTAATTTTAACTTTAAGGCGAGTGTTTGCAAGAAGAAAACGAACGAGTTTGACGTCGTTTGCATTAAGCAAATTCATCATTAAGCAGATTCAGTATAGCGACCTTCGGATGGAGTCGAATGCAGCACTCATATCTATTCCCACTCTGTTGAACGTCCAATGCGTTTCCATTACAGCTGCTACAAGCATTCGCTGACACCATGGATGAAGACGAAACAACTTCTACTAATACTATGCTTGTAGCCAGCTTGCCATGGTTCAGTATAATTATTCATTTATTAGTGGTCCAGTCCGATGTAAGGTGATAAGAGATAGGATCTTCCTAATTGCATTGGATATATGTGTCTGCATATTTTTCATAAAAGACAGATCCGGCATATTTCAGTAGCTCATTTGGGATTGAATTTGGTCCAGTAGTACATCCATTGTTAAGACAACTAGCGGGCTTTTCAACTTCAGGTGACGTAAAGGGACAATCTAAAGGATGTGGTTCACTATCAAATGGATCCAAAGGCGCTTTACCTTTTCTGTTGCCTTGAGAATATTTAACAGTTCCGACAGCAACCACAGCAGAATTCCTTAGGCAATCCATACATTTCTTGATGTCACCATTGCAGTCGATGTTATCAGAAGGTCCTTTGTTACTAATCAATTGTGTTACAAGGAATTGATAATTCTTTTCGATTCCTCAAGATGACAAACGGGCGCAATTAAGCTTTAGAGTTTTGGAGGTGGATTTGAATGCGAGATGGATATTATTCAATTTGAATGGAGCACAATTTTGTGGTCACCATAAACTGTAGCGTCACCATTATTATGATCGTGCATCAGTAAGTGTTATTTTAAAGCGACAGGACAGAATATAGTCAACTTGACTGTAATAAGGAATTGAAGCTGTCTCATTAGGATCAGCTTTTGGATCTTTATATCCAATCAGAGTGGTGATGTGACTTACTTTGTGCTTAAAAGCGGTGTTACATGCGAACATAGCGTTTTTGGTGAGAAATGTTAAAAGTTCCATAACATTTTCATTCACTTGACCATGAATGATCCAACATATTGTACTGAGAAACATTCAAGTTGCTAGAGTAATGTACTTTGCTAAATCTAACGTTAAAATCGCCGAGTATAAAAAGTTCGTGTCCTGATGGAATAGATACTGCTCTAGACAAATCTCTGTAAAATGATTAAGTAAATTAATTTAAATTCATGAGTTCTTTATTTTCTTTTTATAGAGCTTTGTGTATTCTAATCAGATTTGGACAGTTAATGAGCCATACGTAGCTAAAAAGAGCATTTCTAATGACGTATTTTCTGTAATAGCGGAACTTAGAACGTGGATGGGACTAACGCACTCCAGAGATGATTTTGTTCCCAAAAATTATGTCAACAAATATTTTTTAAAGAAAACTACATGAGTACTTTCTATCCATACAACGGAGTCAATGTATGTGGACGTCTCCGACAGGAAGCTATTAAGACGAGCGAAGAGAGTAGAAATTGTTTGCTATAATGTTTTTGGTACTGCAGTACTGCAGTATTCTCTTACTTCATTCATAATTTGTATACTTATCATTGTTCCATAGGAAATAAAACTTAATTGTATTTGATGTATTCACTTTACTTTTCCTATTAAGCCTACTTGTGCCGAAAAACAATCTTGTACGCTTTTTCTCATACTTCTCAAATTCTGGATCATTATGTAGTTCATTTTAACAATTTCCAGGCATCGTCTTGACTTATGAAATTAAGCCTACATTGCGATCGAAAAGTGAGGAGGACCAACCCCGCTTAAATATATGTGGGGGACGTGTCCCCCAGTCCCCATGATCTGCGCTCATATAAAATAACAAAATTATTAAACAAAATAATTAGGCAAGTAACTATAGTATATTGTAATGTCATATTTTTCAGTTGGGTCAAACCATGATACATTTTGTTTGAATGTTTTCCAAGTGTTTTAGAATGGATTACGGTAAACTGTTACTGATACCTATTAAACCATTTCTTGGTAGTCACACATGGTACTGCGCTCGTTCAACCCAACATCCATTACAAAAATACATTCATGCACGTCCTACTAACTTAACACAATTGGTATACAATATTAAGAACTGTACACAAAATATCGGCTTTTGATGTATATCATTTTCATTAGTGTACGTAAAATACTGCGCTATCATTACTCTGCCTACATGTTTTAAAATATATAGTCTTCCTAATTGAAGGGAAGATTTTCAGTTTTGTCTGCCAATACCATCCATCTTTGGAGTCTAATAGAATCCATGTAATTCAAGACCGGCACTAAATGTGGTCTTTAGATTTCTCTGTTAAGAGGAAAATTAAGAAATAATGCATAAAACGTTTTAGAATGGATGTAAAGTTACCGCGTGCTGTTATCAAATTTTATTAATATAATGAAAGATTTCTTTGGAGTCCTGTCTTGTTTTAACCAACTTTATCAGGGCGCCACTAAAACCATGGTATTTGGTCTGTAAACAGTGGGAGTCTTTAATTGGAGGGAACAGCTAATGTTAAAAAGATAGGAATTAAACCGGGGTTGCAGAAAAGTGGTCTTTAATTGGAGGGGTATTTAGTTGTATGGAGACCTGTAATGATAATGATAAAATTAAATTCCCAACGTGTAGCGTCAATATATTGCGTTTCAATTCATTCATACATTGACGCGTTATGTTGAGTTTAACACAATGATTGCTTCTGCGCGCATTACTGCATTAAATGTTTATGTTTTGTAATGAGGTAATCTTCATAGTGCGTAATCCTTCGTATCATAAACGGTAGTCTGTTGTATTTTTTTCGACTGAGTGGTACGTTTTTATTTATAATTACTAGGAGTTTACATTAACGTCTTTAGCTAAGCCTTTTGATTTTATTGGAGAGGATTTTCGGAGTAGGCTAGTCTTTAGGCTGAGGCCTAGTACTACTAGGCCTAGTAGGCCTAGCCTACCTAGCCTTAGAAAGAAGGCCTAGTACTAGTAGGCTAGGCCTACTACTAGGCTCCTAGAGGCTGGCCTAGCCTGTAAAATAGGGCCTACTAGCTAGGCTAGCTATAGGCCTAGGCCTACGCAGTCTACAAACCAGTGACGAGACGAACCTATTATTAGAGTCTATGCCTAGAGCTACACCAGGTTGTCTGCCCAACCTACTATAGAAGTTTAAGACTAGGTGAAAACAAAGTCCTATATTTTATCAGCGTGTGCGATCATCAAGGTAATTTTTTTTTGCAGAGCAGAGGATCGTATTGATTACAGATCATTTCGGTCGCGCCGTGTTGTTATGCATGTTGGTTGCGATAAACAGCCGCAACATGGAACACCGATGTACGCACTAGTGCTTTATTATGTTTGGAAAGTAATTTTTAAAGGGTTCTGTAAGTTTTTGTGGTGCATGTGTTTCAGAATGGGCATTAATTTTATTATTTATTTTTTTGTCTTTTTTATGATGACAAGGCCTAATATTTTCTGTATTTTTTTTTAGTATGGTTGTTGTTTAAGTTTTTTACGATTGTTATAAATTACAATTAATTTGCATTTTACTATGTATTTTAAACATCAGAATATGTAAAAAAAAATTGAAATAAAACAAACAAGAAAATACATACCTTGTGGCTGCTTCACCTCAAGAGTGCCATGCGAATCTAGTTTGTAGGAAATTAAATTCTAGTGCAACTAGAATAGGACTAGCAAAAGTCATTTCAGGCTTAAGAAACCTGAAATGGGCCATTAAAATGTAGGGTGTTATATGTAAATATATTGAAAATTTTATATGGAAAAATAAATATACTATATATTTCCTTCATTTTCATTCGTCGTATATCATTCAGTATGTTCATTTATTCAAATTATAAACATGATCAGAACATTTGGGATAAGTGGAAACGTAACAGACAAGAAAACAAATGTATGAAAAACTAATCTATTGACTATATTTATTTCATGAATCTCCATTCAATTTAAGCATTAATAAAATATATATTGCAACAAAAGTTAAAAAGAAACTTGACTCACACCAAGTCAAATTTGTAACATTTGCGTTGTTTCTGTAAAAAAAGAAAAATAACACTATGTGATACATGTAATATAAGTAATGATAAACTATAAAATAAGTACAGTAATACAAATAGTTGTTAGTCAACTAATGTTTGATGTAATTCTTGTGTTTATAAAAAATACTATACTGCTTAGCTCCCTTGTTCCAGATTTACAGTCGCACCTTTGGCGTGCCATACACCGCGACCAAAATGCATAACAAAAATAGGGCGACCGAAATGAAGGCGCAACCAAAATGATCAGATACCATCATATCAGTTGAAAAATTATGATGTAGGATAGGGGTAGTTAGTAAGTTTGTTTGTAGTAGTACTGTAGAATGTAGATTATTGTCTTGTCTTGCACAATTTTATTTAAACAAATTTTTTTTTGTATTCATTGACCATTGACCACACGGTTAGTGTGGTTGTTGTTTTGTCTGTTTTTGTTTCTTTGCCATTAAGCAATATGATCTTGCAATGAGACTGTTGGAATAAGCAGAAAAGATGAACGCAAGGTCACAGATTTTAGAACTGGTAAGCTATTTATCAATTGTTTCTTAACAAAGTAGAGTACTATTGTTTTCTGATATGACACTGTTGACAGAAAATTTATGGTAAAATTAAACGAATAACAAATGCATAGTCATTTAAATGGAACAAATCATCTATACATTTCTATACACAAAATATTTAAACATTGCAAAGTTGACATGGTACAGATTTAAATTTTGGAGGTGGCTATTTTTACACCAGTCTTAAACCAATTACTAAGTTTGATTCAATGTTGTTGTCTTAACCAAATCAATACATAAAGGCTTCGTTCAGACTTGGAGATAAGACAGGCTTGAGTTAAGCAGGCTCAACGTTAAGCCTGGCTTAACTTTGCCGGGCATTCAGACTATCGGGTTTAGCATAATAATGAACCGTAACCAGGAAACCTGTTTCAAAACATTGCTCGCGAAATGTACGCTCGCTCACAGCGTACGTAATTGAATGCTGATTGGTCATTTCGTCACCCGAAGTCAATGCAAGAACCCCCACAACGATTAAAGCCCGGCTTAGAAAAGTTAAACCCGGTGGCGCGCCGGACCTAGTTACTATAGGAACATAGTCAGTGCTGGATTAACCATTAGGCAAATAAGGCACACACCTTGTGGGCCAGGCGAAAATGATGGGCCATCAAAAGTTGGACTGCAATAATATTTACACTTTATTTTCCGGTATTATTAGGCCAGAAAACTCGGAGACATTCTACTGTTAGAGTTTTTGGGCCATTTCCAAAATGTGCCTAGAGGCCAGACGATGCTCCGGCACTGAACATAGCCTGGCTTGAGATAAGCCACCTAGTTCAGACTGGCAGGTGGATAAACCCGGTGAGTTGAGCCAGGTTTATTCACCTAGTCTGAACTAGGCCACAGTAACTTTCAAGAATTAGGAACTATGTAACAATAGCCACGGCCTTCACTTTTTGGCAAACAAGTTTACAAAGTTATTGTTTAATTTATCTCTTACAGTATTTTACTGTATATTGGGGTACCTGTATTGTAGTAAGTATTTCTACACAGGGTTCTGGGTTCAGTATACAATATAAGTCCTAATTATGATTCTTAAGAAGTAGTGTTTTTGTATTCTGCAATAAATCCTAGTGCTTTCAGGGGAACGAAATGGAACAACCTTCACTAACAAACTACACTACAGCTGCATTAATTAATTTATTTATTTATCAATTGGCTCACTCTTTTATAAAGATGAAATTAATTTTTAAAACAGCGATAATAGTAATGAAATTTTTTTTTTAAATCAAATGCAATAAAAATGATATTATACTAAAGTATGAAATCTTAACTAAAATGAAAAAAAAAATAATAAAATAAAGTAAATAAAAAATATATAAATAAAAACAAACACATAATAATAAATGCAGTGTGTAATGGATGTAAAATATACATATCAAATAATAAATAAATAATAATAAATAAATAATGAATAATATCATGTAAAGAAAGAAGGGGAAAAAAACTATTAAAGCCCCAGCAAAATCTCACTAAAAAAGTTTTTTTTTTTTTGGAAAAAATGCATATGCATTACTCTATTTATGATAAACAATGGAAAATATTGGCATAAATTTTAGTTTTACGCAAAAGAATTTAAAAAAATGAGAAATACAGACTATTTCTCATAGGAGATTACCATTTTCTCAATGAATTCTTCGTTACTAGGCAAATTCAAAGGTTGTAGATCGCATCCGCTTGAATGCTTTCACTTTTATGTATATTTTATTCAGTCAAAGTGCGCCCACTCTAATGAACCGGTTTTCGTACTTCGTATCTCGCACACGGCGATCGATCTAGTAGGCCTGAGATGTGTTTGTTTAATTGTCAAAATTTCGATCAGAATCATTTTTTTAACAGATTTGAAATAATTCCTATGAAATGTTTCACAAGTGTCAATACTAGCAACGGAAAATATAATGTCGGCCGTTTTTATGGGTGATAACAGAACCTAAATCGAGGTAAGGCTAGGCCTAGACTAGCAGCAGTGTTGGAAAGGCTAACGTTTTCGGTGTCACCTGTTTCTTCGTAGCCTATCGCAAAATCAAACATGAAAAGCTTATATATTTAAAAAAATAAAAAAAAACCCTTCAAAACCTTGGAATGGAATGAAGTACAAACATTTGGTGAAGGTTTCATTGACATTTTTTTTTTTTTTTTGTGTTTCAGTCTTTAGAAGAAATACAGATTGAAGAAGCAGCCCTTGCGTTATTTCACACACTTCTTTTTCATCGAACCACAGGAAAGGTGTGTTTTTTGATTATCGATTATAATTATTGTAAATGTGTGTGCATCAAAGGTGTTTTACCATTGTAAAGTGGTTATACATTAAAACCTAAAAATCTGATACAATGTAGAAAACAATTATTTTTTTCATTCTTTCTTTTGTATGCTTAATTTTTTGTGTTCTAGTTCAAATACAAACAAGAGGGCACGTATTCAGTAGGTACAGTAGGCTTTGTGGATGTCGACTGCGACTTTGTAGATTTTACTTATGTAAGTACAGTACTGGAGTCTATCGATTCAGCATTTCATTTTAGTTCATGTTTTTTAATACATTCACAGGGTTATTCTTGCTTCCCATTGCTATCCTAATAAGAACATTTAAGAATCAAGAGTGATGTTAAGAAATAAATTTTTTATTTAAATGGGATACAAACACATCAATTTATGAAACCATTTTACAAAACCATTTTAGCATGCTTTTTTGAGTGTATGTGGGGATACAAACACATCAATTTATGAAATCATTTTACAAAACCATTTTAGCATGCCTTTTTGAGTGTATGTGGGGATACAAACACATTAATTTATGAAACCATTTTACAAAACCATTTTAGCATGCTTTTTTGAGTGTATGTCCCTACAATTTCAACAGCAACCCACTCCCATGTAAAATAAATATAAAATATAAATGTTTATTGCAGCTCATAAACATCTCATGACTGGCCAAGTGTAATGGTATTAATTAGTATGTATGTTATTATAATGTTAGAAGTGGTTTGGCGCAGTGGGAACGGTTTGGATTCCCAACCTCGAGGTTGGGGTTTCAATCCCTTTGCTGTGCATTTCACTTCACAAAGCACTTTATCTGCATTGCTTCTTTCCACCCAGAAGTATAAGTGGGTACCTGGTAGGGTTGAATGCCAAAATACGCTGATGTAGCTGCTGCAACTTTATGGAATACTCCCCCAGGGAACTTGAGTTTGTGTCCCATAGGCGTCTAATCCAATGACCGTGGGGTGGTATTGTGAAGTGCTTAGAGCCCTTGTTGGCGTTAAGTGCTGTATAAGTCTAACATATTATTATTATTGTTATTATAGTTGTTATTATGGAAGTAGACTGGAGATTTCATTCATTTACATTTATTTTTCTTTGAAGGTACGTTGTGATTCAGATGAGCTTGATGGAGCCTTGAAGAAAGAAGTTTCAGGTTTCAACGAACTAATGAGATCAACAGATGGACTACAGTGTGGTCAGGTTAGTGCAAGACTTTTTTATACCTTGTTTTGTGAACTTATTTTTTTAAAGATTGTCAGAGGTGGGTGGGAAAAAAAAAATGTTTTCTTATTTTCTTATTTAGCAGATGGTTTTGTCAAAAACATCCAGACGGGGTAGAAAATGAATATAAAATTTTATTGTTGAAAGTAAACAGTATAGGATGTTTGAATGCTTTTAAATTTATATAATTTGGAAGAAATATACGTATCTTATGTTTTGAGATTTCAAGGCATTGGCAAGCGAAATAAAAATTAAGGAAAGCTGTTATTTTTTCCCTGAAATTTACATTTTTTTCGTAGTATCAGGTGCACTAGTTGGCCAAAAATGAAATTTTATTTTTATTCAAAATCATCATTATTGGCAGGCAGCGGGTTCGTAAACAAGGTATAAGAAAAGTCTGGCCCTAATAACAAAATGATTTACTATAAATGATAATACTGTACCACCGTACTGTGATGATTATTACACTGATGACAAATAAAAGCAATACTGCTGTGTAGTATTATGTGTACATTATATTAATTTTGCCATTTGAAAGAATATATACTGTAAATACAAATACACTGATGAAAAACAAATGCAGTTTACTGCTACATCAATTATACAAGTATTAACAATGTCAATAGTATTAACATTATTATTACTGTACAGTCTGGCTTTGACATGTAATACATTTTTGTCCTTTCATCCTTCCTTTTATTATTTGAAAATAGATTTGCTTAGAATTTTACCAGAAACGAAAGAGTAGATGGCCGTTTCCACCCGAAAACATCCCGTGGGAAGTTTGGATCGTGAAAGTGAATGTGATATCACTCTCAAATGAACATGGCAAGTTAATATATGCTACTTATCAGTAGAAATACTGTTGTTTCCAATTTTCTGCTACAGCAGGTCCAGTTAACCTGTTATTGTGAGTGGCAACCCCCCCCCCTTCTCCTTGATGGGTCTGTCAGTAGCAAATCCAGAAATGTATAGTGTAGTGTATTGAATTTAAAAAGTTAATGCTAACTACCTACTGTATATTCTTTTCTCTTGACAGAGAGGCAAACAAATCGTGAAAAACTTGGTGAGATTTTAAGTGACAAAGTATTGTGTATAGCCGAAGCAATAGATAAAGCAGATTACCTGCCTAAGGCACCAAACCAATCAGAAATTGAATCTGTGTACGATACTACATACAATGATGTTCAGCCATATTTATTCAAGGTTTGTATGAAGATATGTCTTCCTAATGTAATCATTTGATGACCCTACTATTTCTAAAGTAGTTCCTTTATGTTACACAGTATTCTAATTTGCCAGAATAGTGGAGTAACACTCTCCAATTACGGAGTAAATTAAAACAAAACAGTTGTCTGGACCCAAGTAATGTGCAAGGCTAAGATTGGAGCTTGGCTTTAATAATATGTTTGACTTATATAGAGCTGCATACCAACAAGGCTCAAAGCACTTCACGTTATTATCCCAGTCATTAGATCAAGCCCATATGAAACACATACTCAGCTCCTGGGGGAGAATTCCATAATATTGCTGCTGTAATCAGCACATTTTGTTTGAACCTCCTGGGTACCCTCTTGTACTTCTGGGTGGTGTAGACAGACAACCGTAGGTAAAGTGCATTGCCTAAGGACACAGGCAAAATGAACAGGGAGAGATTGAACATCCGACCTCAAGGTCAAGAAGCAGAACTGCAACTACAAAAGTATCATGTGCCGTTTACTTTAAAATGGAGATCTTTATATACCAAATAGTTGAAGTGCGCCCTCTTTCAAAAGACTCTGAAGCCGTCGTTTCCATGTACTGTACGTCCATACATGCATGTTAAAAAAAACATACAGTCTTCAGAGAAAAGCAGAGAATGATTCCTGAAGTATTTAATAGCTGAATTTTGTTGACATATATTATGATTAGAGAAGGGTACAATGACTATCAGCTGCCTTCATTTGCATACCATATTTTGCTGCCTTTATTTGCATACCGTATTTAGAAGCAATTTGCTTGGCTCTCAATTATTATTGTGATTTGTAATCAAGAATTTATCGTTTTTCACTTAGATATCATATCAGTCGTCTACTCCTGGAAACGCATCAATGGGGACTACAGTTCGCAAGCTCCTTCGAGACACCCTAGCATTATGAAAGAAACCACAGAATCTTGGATGAAACTATATATTTCTGTCAGTATATTGAATGAGTTATTAAATATAACATCAGTGAAATCTTAGATATAGCTACAAATACAATCATGAGATCTGCTATTTAGGTCTCTATGTTACAAAACTTAGTATTTTTGAGTAGTCTAAAAAAATTTGCCTGAACTGAAATAAGTTGGTAAGATATAATTTTATAATAATCACTCTATCAGTCATGTTAGAACATTAATAAATGCTATACTGTGTTTTATTTCAAATAATTCCAATTAAAAAATAATCATTGGATATTACGAGCATTGGAATGGTACCAAGTGTGTTTAAATTCTGGAAAAAAACAATTTAAGACAAGTACTGGTTAAAAAGGCGAGTTTTTAAGAGGTTGGCTGTGGTGTTAAAAGATATTCTTTTCCTTGTTTAGTGCCTGAAACAGTATCCCCTTTTATGTAAAATACCGTTCAAGTTTGTTTTGTGGAAATACCCACTTCCATTGGTAACTAATTCAGTCTATTACCACACCCAATGTTCTAAATAAATTCTCAAACATTAAATTGTATATAATTAAAATGTATCTATAAATATTATATTTAAAGAGGAAAGACTGGTTTAAAAGCATGCTTGTCTATGTATTCATGTGGATTGATATATTTAGTATATAGTGGCAAGTGTACCCATAGTGCTCTAATAGAGAAAAATGGTATTAATACAAAAAAAATGATACCTAAAGTGTAAATGTAAACAGTAAATAAAGTATAGTTATACTTTATACACATTAAAAGGCACAAGTTACTATTGCAAATTGTCAAGAAAATAAATTTATTCTGTGAATTGCATTGTGTCTGACAACTATTTTTGTTTTTTAAATTTGTATAAAACAATACAAACAATTACTTTCCAAAACACATTTTTACAAAATAAATATTTACCATAATTGTAATATTTGCTGAGACATGGTCTAAAAAATCCCACCTCATGATGTCTGAGATTTTTTTTTTTTTTTCAAATTGTTTATATTATAAACTTTTTTTTTTTTTTTTTTTTTTTTTTTTTGTTCCTTATTATTGTAGTAATATTATATTACTTAATGTTTCCATTAGTAATCTTCACCACCACCACTGTGTAGGCCAATCTGAATGGACTAATATTTTAAGTACTTAACAAAATTTCAAACTTAAGCTGCACAAACATGAAAATCTTCCATGTGCTTACCATGCAGTAGGCTAGACTTTTCTTGCACAGTCCAAGCCAACAAAGAAGCTGTCATTCAATGAATAAAACAAGACTCGATTGGCTTGCTGGTCATGGGTGCAGGCTTGGGGGTGGGTTGAAATACTATATATATAATCAACTTTCATTGGAATAGGGAATTAATTCCATATTCTCAACTTTTGCACCTTCTCCCCACAGTTCCAAACCAGCCTATGCCCCTGCTGGTGGCATTGTTCGAAAATATTTGGTAGACATTGGGAAGATGCCTGAGAGACTACCATCACCTAGTGTTTGTCCCAGGCCAGGCCACATATGCTCTAACTGCAATTTGGTTTGTAACTAATGTTTAAATAGACAGATTTCTACCTACTGTATACAGTAGTACAATACTGTATGATGAAAAACAAAAAAATTTAAATGACAGGCCACAAGGCAAGTACTATAAAATAATAACAATTAAATTCATCCAAAATGTGTAATAGAGCTTTAAATAGGCACTTGGTTGTTAGTTTGTATAATTTTCAAAGAAATGAAGCAATGGCATCCCACATGTCTTTTGTTTGTTGCTCAGCCGTACTATCACCACTATAATCCAGACAGTCTCCATGCCACATACCGACTCCACGGAGGTTAACGTTACTTGCGTAATTGTAACGGTACTTGAGACTCTGCGGGTCATCATACCACATCTGATGGGTAACACCTGTTGAAGTGCTCTACAATAAAGACAAAAGAGGCACCCACATTTTATAATGGTATTTACCACCTATGCTTAATATTAAGTTCTGCATGCTTAAATACAAGGTTAACTTTCAAATTATTATTAAATAATAAAGACTGACGATGTTTGTACGCTGCATAGAAATATTGCTGTGCACTCTTTAGTGGACTAGTGCTGCCTAACACGCCACCAAGCTGGTGTTAGTTGTAGGTATCAGCAGAGAGTATAGAACAGCAAAAGGTCTGACGAATAGGATTTATTGGAACGTAATCCTATTTCAAAAAGTAATGCCTCGAAGGAGCATGTCCTTAAAAGACGAGTTTCGAGCGAAATCTATTCGAATTTAATAGGGTTCCCCTATCCAGTAGCAGTACTTTTTTTAATGTTGCGTGCAAAATAAGGCAAGTCGGACCACTTGTAGTTCTACAGTATACCCTTTGGTGTTAAATTAGTTAACGCCAAACAGGCGTTAGTGATACTGACCCAGCACAGCCTCTGCTTTCTACAATAGCAAACACTAATCTCATTGACGTTAAACATTTACACGCACATGAACAGATAGATTAGCATACACATGACAAAACGCAATGGGGCTGGGGGACCTTTTTTCGGTCCCGGTTGTCAGTTCCATTGTGGGATTTTAAATGTGGTTGTCATCAAGTACAATGTTTGTCATTGTATTTTAAATGCTTTTTACAAAAAATAAGTGTGTGATATCAGTGGTGGATCCAGGGAGTAGGGGACCAGGAAAGAACTTTCACAGATGGAGAGTCTATACCACGTCAATCCCACCATGGTTGGGGCTAGTATAAGAAAATTAATGACATGGCATTCTGACACTTTGTTTTTTAATATAACTTTCTTATATAACAAAAACGGATCCGTCTGCAGATATTGGGATTCCGCCACTGGATATAACATAATATATGTCCAACAGTCGATGTCAAAAACACATTCAGTTATGTATCAACAAGCCCTTTTGGGTCTGGGTATTAAATCGAGAACCCTATGGACAGTGTCACTCTGAGGCCCCTAGAAGTCGGGGCCCTGCCGACTGCTGCAAGAGAGCGCATAGGCTTACGCCACTGGCCTAGTCATCTTACTTGGTGGTCATCTTATTTCAAAATCAAGATATCTTACCCTATACTGGAAGTAAGGAGCAGCATAAGTACTGTTCCACAGACGTCCTGTTGTGGAATTAACACTCAACATCTTCCGTATGGCACCATACGCAATCTGTTTGCCAGCAGCATCACTGCATGGTGCTCCACGGAATGGAACCTTCTCAATACTGCATACATGGTCCTAGTGAATAGTAAAGATTTCAATATTAATAAATAATTCCAAAATCAATGATCACAATTCAACCCCAGGTTAAAAGATAATATACTGTACATTGATAAACCTGGGAAATACAGCTTGTGTGCATGTGTAATCATACAAGTACATTCAATGCCACAAATTATAGTACTACCAGGTTGCAGGCCTTCTCTTGGGTAGACAGATAAACGTAGATAAAGCGTCTTGCCAAAGGAGGGAAGTAACCAGAGAGGGTCTTCAAATATCTGACCCCAAGGTAAAAAATCAGAGCCAACGGCTCTATAAATACTCTACAGACAGGGCCTACCGTATATACTCGCATATGAGGCGCTCCCTGTCTCGCTGTTTAAATTCCTACTTTCTTCTGCTTCTTATGGTCTTTATATTGCACTAGAGTGGCTGGCTAAAAACGGAGACAAATGCAAGGCTAACCTTCCCAAGTACTGTAATACCATTTTATGAGTTTATAAATGTTCATCAGAATCTTATTTCCCCATATTTGAAATTGCATTCAAACTAACATTTAGTAGCTTGCAGAGGTAAATTCACGTGTTAATGACCCGCACATAAAGCGCACATGATTTAATAAATCTACAGTAGACTCCCTGTTTTTCAATTGTAATTTGCTATTTTAAGCCTCATCAAGTATTTTTTTATTTTTTATTTATTTTTATTTATTTTATTATCCATAGGCTTGTGTATAAAGGTTAAATTAAAATAAATTAAAAATGAAAATACAATATATTGTTTTTATACCAAAGTATACAAATATTAATTAATAATATAGCTAAAACAAGCCTGGTGAAAGGCCTTTCCAAATAGAAAAGATGTGTACAGTAGTACTGTTATGAAGTGGCTAAGCTGGCTTTAAGCTAAGTGTACCTCAGTTAAATGAATGCAGGGATAATCATACCCATACCAGGGTACACCAAGCACAAGTTTGTCAGTTGAGATACCAAGCTTCAAAAACTTCTCAACACCTGGAAGATATAATCAAAGTATTTGAGTAACTTTACTTCTACTTCAAATGATCCTAAGTACTGAAAGATTTAAGAAAAAGATATTGGGCATTGATCATATAAAGCATTCATGTTATTTGAAAAGTAACTGATTAATAGATTTATGAAAGTAATACCAAAAATTAATCAGTCGTTAGTAAACAATGAGTGGTAAAATATCAATATTGATCAGTTATTTATATCCATTTTATTCATTTTGTCACTTGATATATAAACATGATATAAAAGGGCCTAAAATATTCAAAACACGAAAACCCAGAGCAAGACAATTAATGTTTCCAGGAGGTGGACCAGATTTCCAGTAGAAAAGTTAATCATCTTTCTATGTGGTTTTCCAACCCCATTTAACAAAATACAAATTATTAAATGTTCATGAAATGCATATAATAAATTACCATAAATATATTTTAAAACAATTTTAAAATATTCAGTTGTAAAATGCATTCAAATTTAGTTGCTGTACAGAGAATTCATAAATCTGTTATAAAAATTGCGACAAAAAAGTTAAAAAGCAACACTTTAAAATTACAGAAAAATTTTCAATTGAAGGGCAGATTTTTATAACTACAGTATTACAATTAACAAAGTACTTGAAATAGCCTTTAGACAAGTGGAAATGGGATGAAAAGTAGGGAATAACGTCTGGCAATACCAGGCTGGTTTGCTCACGAGTGTGGACAAATACATTAAACAAATTTGTCACTTTGTCACTTAATAACTGTCATCCAGATACTTAAATAAAATTTCTTTCTTTAGGTAGACTTTTTTATTTCTTGTTTCGCATACTTATTTTTTTAAAGATCATCGGAGGAGGGTGGATTAAACTAGAATTAAATTTTGTTTTCTTATAAGCAAATAGTTTTTGCCAAAAACATAAAAACATCCAGACGGAGGAGAAAATAAAACAAAATTATTGGTGAATGTAAAATATAGGATGGTTAAATGCAAATTTATATAATTAAGAAGAAATATTTTATCTTTGGAAATTTTAAGGCAGCAGAGTGCGTAATAAAAATAAAGGAAAAGTTACATTTTTTTCCTGAAATTTCCACTTTTTCGTGGTGGCGGGTGTGCTAATTGGCCAAAAATAGAATTTTATTTTTATTAAAAATCATCAAAATTTGAAGTCGGCAGGTTCACTAAACAAGGTATGAAAAAAGTCTTGCTTTATTTGGTTATATGTTCAGTAGAAATCTACTGTTCTCCCACAATGCCAGTTAACCTATGTAAACTAAGTCCCATTATTATGAGGTTACAGTAGTGGAGTGCCTTGGGACTGGAAGGCAAGTACTGTATAAAAGCCAAATAGCTATTCATTTCTACTCCATTTATCAACTGTTATTGATTATGGTATTAAAAATGATATTGTAACATTTTATACAATATGAATAAGAAGTGACATCTTTATTTCCCATATGTGAGTGGATCAATTCACTCACCAGAAACAGTTTTATTGTATGGGGAATTTGCCATAGCGATGCAGTCACCATAAATCTGGCTCTGTTCATCGTACGACATCAAGAACAGGAAGTCACACGATTCTGCAAGACCTTTGTAGTCATAGCAGCGTTTGTCGATACAGTCAGGTGACCATGCTACGTCAGTGGTAACCTAGAAAATTACCCATAACAAGATCATTAATCACAAAGTTTAATATAGTGGAGACACAATAAATCTGGTATGACAGTGGACGTGGTTCTTATGTGAGATATGCCATACATTTACAGTATTAGGAAATGTACACTATAGAGGGGGCTACTTACTGTATGCCAGTCAATTAGGGATTGGCAGATCAAGATGTTAATATTTAAAAACTAGAATATAATAAATGCAGGCTGAATTAAATTATAACTTTTGAACATATCAGTCAGCATTAACATTTAAAATAGTTTAAAAAACAAAACTTAACTACTAAATACTGAAGTAATTTATTGCAAACTGAAATAAAACAATTTGAATTACATATATATATATATTTTTTTTAATGAGATTAAAATGATAGATAAATTCATAAAACTGCCATTAAAACTTGCTAAAATTGACAATTTAATATGGAAACACTGTGGAAAAGTATAAATTTATTAGTTCTTTTAGTTCTTGTAGCAGGTATATTTATATTGAATTTTTTGTGTATGAAATTTTGTATTTTATGTTTTGTTAATACAGTAGGGTCTTCTTCTTCTTCTTCTTCTTCTTCTCGTATCTACCAAACTCAACTAGATGTTGTGTTTTTGTTGAACACAATCTTTAGCAGTGTCATTAGACTCAAGTCAATCTCATCACATGTCTGTTGCAGTATAGGACATCTGAGAAGGTGTTTCATAGTCTGTGGTTCAGAACCATAGATACTGTACAGGTGATGTTCAGATATCCCCACCTTTTTAGAGTTACTCTGCATCAGCCGGTACAAAATATTAGGCAGGAGTAATAAGTAGTTGAGGTAGTGTGTGTTCTTACTTTATTAAAATATAATTTTTAGCATTTCAATCGCCTCTCCTCCAATCAGGCCTTAGGAAGTTGTATGATACATACAAAAAGTCTCTGGATTATTTTAAGGTGTTCATTTGTTAGTTCGTATGAGTCATAATCGAATCTAGTTGCTGTTATTAATTGACTAAAACGGGAGTAGCAGGGTCAAAAACGAGCAGGTTAACAGCATGACCTTTCCATTTATCCTCCTGGGTGAAGAGAGGCAAACCTAAGTCAAGTGTCCTGTCCAAGGTCTCGAACTCCCGAACTCCCGATCAGAAGTTCAACACCTTACACATAGTAGAGTCATTTTCATGAGATCCATGACTAATACCTTTTTTTCTCGATGGATTTGGCAAGATGGACCAATTTAGATAAAATATAGCTCCTATATACCTCCCAGATATGGGGGGAAGGTCCCGTTTGGGGGCGATTTTCAAAATGGGCGCCTGTTGATTTGTTGATCTCGAAAACTACATATCATATGAGGATAATTTTTTTTGGGGGGGGGGGTTTTTCATACAATGGATCATTTTTATGAAGTTTCATCAAAATCTGAGACGGTCATACAGGAATTTCTTTTTAATCTGGTTGATTTGACATGGAATGACCCTACAATAGGTCAAAGGTCAGAATGTATCGTTTCCAGTCACTATTTGAATATATTTTTCATTAGGACGAATATAAACATGAATCTCCTGAACAATTTGCAATCAATTGTGAGTCTCTATGACCAGTAGTTACTGAGATATGACATTACAAGGTCAAAGGTCAAACTTTCAAAAACTGCATTTTCCGCCATTTTTGATAAAAAGTTGTATTACAACAAATAGGAACATGCATGCATATTGTAAACAATTTGAGACCAAAATCAAGTCTCTCTGACCAGTGGTTATCGAGATACAAGCGTCCAAATCAACAGGCGGCCATTTTGAAAAACGCCCCCAAACAGGACTTCCCCCCAATATCTGGGAGGTATATAGGAGCTATATTTTATCCAAATTGGTCCATCTTGCCAAATCCATTGAGAAACAAAGGTATCCTAAAATTAGTCACGGATCTCATGAAAATGACTCTACTGACACTGCGCCACATTCTCCTAAAAGAGGTGTGATTGTTGACAATGATATTTGTGCCCCATACTGAACAAGCATACTTAAGAGTTGAACAGATATGAGACTGATAAATGGTACCTGTGAACCTGGTATAGCTTGATGGAAAGCTTTGGTGGTGTCAGCAACCAACTGTGTTAGTAACGGAGCTTCCGATTTGTCCAAAGGACCTTCAATGTCGATATTGATACCATCCATAAACTGATCAACTGCCAATTGAACTTGTTGTGATATCCATTGCTGTGTTATGGTTTTATTTTTAAGTTGTGTTGCTGATAGGTAACCTGTAGAAAGTTAACACTCTGTTAGGTTGGGTACATATATTTACATCCTAAATGAATTGTAAATAAATCCACACTACATTATCGAGTCAAGTGGTCAAGCGGTAAGGTAGGGGCGCTGCTAACTACCAGGTGCTGGTTCGAGCTACTCATTGCCCGAGAACACTGCAACCTACATCGATAATATTGGCAACGAACGGTACGCTCGTCTATGGTTCTGGTGGTGGAACAAATCTTCTTGGATAAGACCCTGTGTTCACAATTCACTTGTGTCCACTTCCTGAATGCCTGTGCGCAATTCAGCCTAGTTAAAGCTGCAAGTCAAAGGTTACTTTATACCTTTAAATTTACCTTCACCTGAGAACACATTGCATCCTTTGGAAGAGTAAGGAGTTAATGTCATATAAATTATAATTAATTAGCGAATTATTTATTTTTGTACTTGAATTCTTAACTTAATGTTGCCTTATTAATTGTAATGCCTTATTGTAGATTTATTCTGTTTTTTATGTATTTGTGGTGTGTTTGTGATGTTGTTTTTAATATTTTTTCTCCCCTTTTGTTAAACTTCAATTTTGAATGAGAGATTGCAATAAAGTTCTTCGTATTTCGTATTTCGTAATACTGCAGTACTATGCTTCATTTCAGCTGCAGTCGCTGAATAATGTGAACTAAATGCCTCTCTATCACTGGTGCAGTACTGATCACATGCATAGACAATTCAACACAATGATACTGTGAGTTATGGGTTATTCTCCTACCTTTACCCCTTACCTTTATTATCACTGTAGATACAATAATTCCAATCATAATCATCAAACCCATTATCACTACCACAATTTTCAACAAACTATTCCTAAAAATTACATAGGCTCAAATCAGTAAAATCAGTATTGTAACAAAAAAAATTACCTTTTAAAACCACCCTGGCACCCTTAGAATGGGCATAGCACATCAACTGAGGGTCGTACTTTCCAAACATAGCAACTGTGGTGACAACTGACCAATCATAGCTCTTCCAGTCCGTGCCTCCAAGTTGAAATACAAATATCTACAAAGAATGATTAATAAAACTATTAATACTGACAATAATAAACATAATAAATATATAATAAGCATACAAATATATATTTCAGAGGGAAGAAGAATCATAATAAAAAGTAGTTATTATTATACTAATACCTCGTACTTATATTGTGCAAAAATATTTTGAATGAAAGATAGAAGAAATAAAATTGCAGTCCAGTGGGAAGTGAACCAGTGACCAATCTGCTAAGCAAACTGATAAACATTGTAGGTGGCAATCGTTAAGTCCACAAATAACTCTAAAATTGCTTTCATTGGTAGTTTCAACTGTTTCTACTTTTTGCAAAGCGAAAAAAATGCACAACCAATCAGAGCTCAGGAAGCAAACCAACGCTTTCCATTCGCGCGAATAAACTTGCCTAGTGGAAAACCAGCTTAAGTCGTTGGTCATGCGCAAAAAAAGATTTGGTCCACTAATATACTGTACTGTAAATGCTTGAAAGCGCCGGACCGAATTTTTTTTGCTAAACGCCACTCTTAAATAAGTGCCGCAGTGCTTAATCAAGAATATATATACCCTGTGTGTAATGAAACACTTCGAGAAACAGGGTTTTAAATGCAATGTATAGTGTTAAAATGAATAAATAACACAATGAAGACACAAGCATTTCTTTTATAAACATTTATTTACGATGATGTACTTACCTATGTGATAGGCCCACTACAGGAATATGTGAGATAGGCCAACTACAGGAATATGTGAGATAGGTAAAATGGGGAACGGGCATGGTAAGCACCGCACCAATATTTTTTTATAAGCACCGCACTAAAGCCTCCAGAAAAATTTAAATAAGCGCCACAGCGCTTATTTAAGCATTTACGTTGAAAAAAATATGTCTTTCTGTGTAGATACCGATAATGGTACTGTATTATAATGCAGTCAATGTAGGTTCCCAGGGGCCTAAAATCAAACTTCCTCATTGATATTGAAAATGAGAGGTTCATTGTTGATATTCAACAACAAACCATACACATATTTTTTACTTGATTACTTCCTTGTTCAGAACAACTCATCTTCTTTCAAATTCTGTAAAGCATACATCAGATGCATAATCATTCTTCAAAACCATAACCTAAATACAGGTCTTCCTCCAATTAAGGACCCCTCCAAATCCAATTAATGACCACCTCCAACAAGAACCCCTCCACTTTAAGCCCACAAATTACAGTAGAATTAAAAAGGCCACTCTAGGCCGTACCCCGTTAGTTTCCATCGGAAATTGTCGGTCCCATTGTCGGATTCACTGTCGGGTAAATCAAGGCCCTTGTGTCGGGTGCGTACCTTTGGTTTGAAGGGTCTTTGGTCCGAAGGCCCATCGGTCCGAAGGGTCTTTGGTCCGAAGGCCCATCGGTCCGAAGGCCCGTTGGTCCGAAGGGTCTTTGGTCCGAAGGTCTATTGGTATAAAGGCCCGTTGGTCCGAATTAGTGACCTTCTTTCCAGGTATGCAGGTTATACGGCAGTAAAACAATTCTTTACAATTTGTGGAGTAAATTAAGAACGATCACTTTTCTAAAAGAATATTCCCAAATATTTTCCCTAACAACATATAAGACAAAGTTAAAAAAAAAATACTAGTTTCTTGTCACTCCCGCATCCATTTTCGCTGCCTCACCATTAAAAAAAATATACAGTACCTCAGGTACATTTCCTTTATTTTGCAAAATGCACGAAAATCTGGCTAACTCACATTAGTAAAATTCCTCTCGATCGTGGATAGGGAGATGTTCCCAATGAGAATTTCAGTCACTGAACTATTACCAGTAGTATTATGAATTAAAACTCAATGTACTATGATACGAACCATGTCTAGTGCTTCTTCTATTTGCTTTTAATGTGCAGTGGCGGTACTACAGGGGGAACAGGGGTGGTGATATAATAATATTGAATATTGAATAAATTGTCACATTTTCCGGGGGTACACGCCCCATGGACTTTCCAAATATTTCAATTGACTTTGCTCTCGTCGGGGAACTTGCCCCTCCCCCCCAAAAAAAATCATACCTTGCCCTTCATTTCCGCCCCCCCCGCCCGCCCCCCCCCCCCCCTCCCTTTCGCCGCCACTGTCGGTGTGTCTACTTTGAAAAAGTGAGAAACTGTTATGCAGCAATAATTAACTGTATATTGTTAGCCAATATAGACCTACACATGGTGGTCCCGAACATGTGCTTTCTTCAAATATATTTTTGTCTATAGCCCTATTTGAATTAATTACTTCGGACCAACAGACCTTCGGACAAAAGGACCTTCGGACAAATGCACTGACCCCCTTGTGCCACCATGCAGCGCTTCTGCCTACCCTACTCTTACCACCTCCCTGGACGGGGCTAGCCTAGGCGGCCCTCCTCTCCTCCTAGCCTAGCGGCAAGGCCTACGCCCAGGCCAGGCCTATGCCTAGGCTCATCACGCACTCACCTCTTTTCTTGGAGGACTAACTATTGGATTGCAGAAGGAACTTTCAGAGCAAGGGCAATTAGACAAGCAAACGATCAGTGACAAAAGTGAAAGCAGAATATTAACTTTAAGCCAAAACCCGTCCATCCATTGACTAGTCATTTTGTTACCCGCACAATTTGCGTGGTGCCCTTCTGTTTCCCACTACACTGAGATGGCAGTGCACTAAATGTTATTTCCTCGATCGAAGATCATGCCCTCTATTTGCGTGACATGATAACAAGGGAATTTCCCTTGTTAAACCCGACCTGTCCTTATTAAATTTGTTCATTTATTGATTTTTACACATTTTTCTATATTTCAATATTTATATTTCGATTTTTTATCTTTTTGAAGAATTTTATATTGTAAGTATTTTTGTTTTTCTCGTGAAGTGTCTCCACTCGACAGTGATTGATTTTACTTTTAGAGTGTCCTGTCTCTTGTGTTGTGTCTTTGGAGTGTCCTGTCTCTTTTTTTTGTACTTTTGTGATTGTTCTTTGTCGTTTCTGTTTATGTACATTTTAATTGTTTGAAACAAATAAATGAAATAAAATGAAACTCAGCCCGGCGGCGCCAGTGGCGAACTACCGCAGGTTCATCGAACCTGGGCCCATTGAGATATGATAAATCTAGGACTTGCTTTTTAACAATTTTGGCTATGTGGCATATACCACTGAGATTGGTCTATTGTTAGAGCTTATCCTTATATATGGGGTAGTCATTGAGACTTTACAATCGTTTGGAAACATACCATGCATTAATATTTATTTATAATAGAACATAGAGCTTATGCGATATACAGTAGCGTGATGCAAGTCTTAGTATAGCCTATCTAAATTATGAACTTTTTTCAGATAAACATGCCAGATTCTCTTCAACATCGCAGATACAATTATCGTAAAATTTAGTGTGTGAACACAATTTGGGGGTTTCCATTCTGTTTTGCCTTCTTTAATTGAGCTTTAAAGTTCTGTTCCTTTTATTATCACTAAAATGATCGCTAATATTTTCACAATTAGGATTTGGATGAATATTGTTTCAATTTTTGTTTATTCTTTTCATCCCACAAACGTTTGTGATCGTGTTTATATCTGTTTTCAACTGATAAAAAATAATCTGATAATAAATAATAATTTGATTTTCATTTTCAATTTATACTCGTGCAGTTGTTTCTAAGTGAACAATTTGTGTGTTTACATGATCACTGTTATACAGTATACATAATCTATCAGGTGTGATATCAGGTGTGATCCATTTCTTTTTTCTTTTTTTTTTTTTTAGCTTAAGTTATTAAAACTAATACACACGATAATTGTTGACGTTGTTCATTGGTTAATCTGATAAAAGCACCAATTCAATAAATATCGAATGTGCTTTTTCTTTTGGTCATAAGAAGTAGAAATGCTTGGTCAGTCCACCCAATAGCCGGATCTTCAAAATGATGCGATATGAGAACATCCAAAAATTAAAAATTAAAATAAATCCAAATATTTATTGTCAAAATATAAAAATCGGAAGGACCCATGCTCTAAAACTAACTCATCGGTGGTACACATCTTAGTTCACATTGTTAATCAATTTACATGCGTCAAGGAGCTCGACTGTCTTGTACCAGAGCCTAGTTACGCCACAGATGAGTCCCGAAGATGACTTTGCATTGCGATTCCCCCAACCGAGAAAAAGCCCCATTATAAATGAATGGTTGGCAATGGTGGCGCCAGGATTTGAACGAGGGGGGTGGGCCGATGTCCAAGACGAAAAAAGTGGGCGTGGTCGGACATCACTCAAAATCTCTCGAAAGTGTTCCCTGGGGCATCCAAAACATGACAATTTAGGGGTTTTAAAGGCTTATTTAATTTAAGTCCACTAATAGGCTTATGTAGAAAATAAATATACACTTTTTTCTCTCCGACGACGAATTGTGGTTTTTCTCCACGACAGGTGGGGGGGAGTCGCCCAGATGGGACTCTGCCCCACCCCCCTGCTGGCACCACCCCTGATGGTTGGGTCTGAGGTGATCACATTTTAAGAATAGGCCAGACACCTTTAAATTTAATTACTTCCATGAAAATGGAAAACAAAAAAATAAATTGGTACGACGAGAATAAGAGTGTATCTTTAGCTCTGACTATTTATGTGCCAAAATTTGTGTGATGACCCCGGCATCATTATGTCATTAGCCTACGTCAAAACATAGGCATATCACAATGATTTGTCACATTTGAGTAATACGACAGCTGATATTTGATATAAAATTACCACAGATAAATGACCGTCTGTGAAGTTGCAATGAATCCAGGTTCAATAGAGAAATTAAATGACAGAATAATGTAAGTAGTCTTATTGTAAATACAACAAGAAAAGTCGGTATTTACCGTAACTGGATATTGTTCTCGCTTAGGCTAAGGATCTAGGCAGATTGTCGAAACCCAGTTTGTCAAATGCCAGATTGCCGAGTTCAATTTACCGAAACCCAGTTTTCCAAATGCCAGTTTTCCGCCTCAAAAAAATGGATCCCATTTTGCCGAAACCCAGTTTGCCGAAAATCAATCAAAACCAGTAAAACATTAGCAAAACTTAAACATCTCAAACATAATTTTTGACAACATGCAAAGGTTAATAAATGTACACAATTTCAAAAGAGAAATTTCACTTCTAGAAAACATGATGAAGTTTCTCGGCAACATTGAGCATAAAAATCACAAAATCAGCAAAAAGGAAAACTAACATCCGAAATCCGTTAAAAAGAAAGAAGTCAAACAACAAAATTGTTACTGTATATTAAGTAAATTACAAGTGTTCTATTTCTCACCAAGTGGATTTATGAATAGCACTCTCCTAGGGTGCTTTTGGTAGGAAAAGAAGACTTAAACACTGTGGGTGTAATTTTTTTCTTTGCAAAAAATAGGGGGGTTTTACGCCCC